TTTATGGGGGGTAGGCAGTTGGTGCTGGTCCTGGTGCTTGAACTCAGGACCTGGGTGCTGTTCCTGAGCTATGTTGCACAAACTTCTCTCTACCACTTGAGCCACAGCTCCACTTCTGGCTTTTTGAATTATCAACTGGACAGTGTTGTTGGCTTTCTTGACCAGGCTGGTTTCAAACCATGATTATCAGATCTCAGCCTCCTGAGTAGCTAGGATTATAGGTGTGAACTACCAGCACTCAGTAAATTTGTTTTTTAAATTAAATAGGATCTGCCTCAAAGCTGAATGTAGGAGAAAGAAGAAAGAAATTTTATCACTGACAGAAACATAGGGAAGAAAGATTTATTTTAGCTTAAATTTCAGAGGTGCTGCTTCACTGTGGAGGGGAAGGCATGGTGAAATACAGCAGTTCCATCATGGTGGTTAGGAGGAAGAGAAAGGGGATACAGGAAGGAGCCAAGGCAATATAAAGGCCCAAGAGCATGGCTCCTGGGACCTGCTTCTCCCAACTAGGCTCCACCTCCTACCTCGCCCCAGCTACCAATAATGCCATCCCATCATGAGTCCACCAAGGGGAGAATCCACTGATCAGATCAGTCTTCCGCATTTTATACTGGGGGCACGGACCAAGTGGTAGATAGAGCATTTGCCTAGTACACGCAAGGCCCTGACTGCAGTCTTAGGACTACAAAGAACAGAATAGAATGAAACAAAATGAAAAGCAGATTAAAAGACAAATTTGACTTCAAGAAATGGGATCAGAAGTGGAGAAAGACTTCCTAAATAAATTGTTTAAAACCTCACAATGGTAATTTAAGTCAATAAAATAACAGTAAACAGTAACAACAACAAAAGAAGAGAGCAGATTACTGTTTTGAAAATTGCTATATAAGAACACTGAAGACACAGATCTTCCGAAGTTACTCAGAGCTTGAACTTATGAGTCTCCTTTGTCTTCATCTTATTTACACATACCAAAACATATGCCCTGTATCATCATACCATAATTGAGCATATTTCAGTTAGAAGACTAGGAAAAGAAATGTTCTTTTTGCAGGTTGGGATTGTAATGACTGGCAAAACACTAGGCAAGCTGGCTCTGCAGTTGTTTGAACCACACCCAGTCTGTAGTTAAATATAGAATTTAGTTTCTGGAACTATTGGTCTTCTTAACCTTCACAGTCTAAAGTGTTCACTGAAAAAAAAATTAAAAGTAAAGAGGAAAAAGGAAAGAGACTAAAATCAAAATCCAAGTACTAATAAACTGCCCTGGGAAGAATTCCAAAATGCAGTAAAGACCAAGAGAATTAAATTACAGAAACCTGAAGCAACAATGTAGAAACATGCTTTATAAGCTGATTTGTCTCTTCCATGCTAATTCTCTCAGGATGTATAACACACTTGTATAAAATGCATTTCTGTATTATGCACATGTCTCTAAATAACATTATAAACATGTCACATTAACAGCAAGGATACAACTTTGGAGCTAAGATTTAATTTGGGTTTGTTAAAAGTATTATGGTTGTGATGTTATTTTTGTTCATAAAGGCACATATTTTTCTAAGAATCTATTTTTAGATGCTTAAATTTGGGGTGAAGAGACATCCTCAAACTAGTTTTTAATATTGGCCCTTGGTCTTCTGGGAAGAATATTTTGGATTAATTTTGAAAACGACTTTGAAAGCCGGGTGCCGGTGGCTCATGCCTGTCATCCTAGCTACTCAGGAGGCTGAGATCTGAGGATCGCAGTTCAAAGCCAGACCAGGCAGAAAAGTCTGTGAAACTCTTATCTCCAATAAACCACCACCAGAAAAATGGAAGTGGCGCTGTAGCTCAAGTGGTAGAGCGCTAGCCTTGAGCTGAAGAGCTGAGGAACAGCGCCCAGGCCGAGTTCAAGGCCCACAACCAACCAGCCCCCCCAAAAAAAAAACTGCTTTGAAGATTATAATTTTTTTTTTTTTTTTTTGTCGGTCGTGGGGCCTGAACTCTGGGCCTGGGCGCTGTCCCTCAGCTCTTCAGCTCAAGGCGAGTGCTCTACCACTTGAGCTACAGCGCCACTTCCAGTTTTCTGGTGGTTTATTGGAGATAGGAGTCTCACAGTCTCTGCTGCCCGGGCTGGCTTTGAACCACGATCCTCAGATCCTCAGCTAGGATTACAGGCATGAGCCACCAGCGCCCGGCTTATAAATGTTAAAAGAACAAAAAAATGTGTTCTTTAAAATTTGAGTGCTCCGGATTTCTTACTGCTTTTATACTGTTCATCAAAGATGAATATGGAATGTAAGAACAAAAAATGTATTACAGATATACTGTTCCCTAAGTACAGTAAAAGATGCAATAAGTTTTAATTGCAAACACACCCAGAGACATACATTTGTCTTCATTTCCATCCTTGTGGAAATACTCAAATACAGAGTCTTCATTCAGCCACTTCAACTAGAAATAAGAGCAATAAGTAACCTTTCTGCAAAAACTTGACTCCAAAGCTGGTCATCTTAACACTGTGTCCTGTTGCTTCTGTTATTACTATACACCGTCAAATGCATTCCTGTATCTGGCCAAGCTTTTCCAAGTTGCTACTTTCTTCCTAACTTGCTTCATTTGGTAGAACAATCCATAAGGTTTAGAAATTCCATTCTATCTTCCTCCCTTGAGTCAAGAAAGGTGCAACACCCAGGTCTCATTGTTCTGTGTGTCAGTCTCAGACTCTACAACCACAGAGAAAGAGCTGCTGCCAAAGCTACAGGTAATCCCTACAGATGAAAGGAAAGGCCATTGGAAGCCTGGTTCCTAGGCCACAAGGCCTGCACAACTGCTCACTCAGCTTTCTTTTCAGATCTACTGGGCGCATCATTTTTTACTCATTTCAAATGGCCTGAATTATTTCTATTCTCTCACTAGCACTTTGTCATGCAGCTAGGAAGTAGCTGATTTAATGAATGAACAAAGGGATAGGATTATGAAACAGGAGTCACAGGTGAGTTCACAGGATTTACAGATGTAAATTTCTCAAGGGCAGATGACTCAGCCCCCCCTTTGCACATATGTAAGCTACTTGAGGTAGCCTAGGTTACTGCTAACACATAACAAATACTTCATAAAGGACCCAATGAGTATCATCAATAATCACATTCTCTTTTATTCATTACAATTCAAGTCAGATCTTCTACAAAACTAACAACAAAAATCTTCGTAAATATGAAAAAAAAATTGCCTGTATGAGTCTAGTAAGCCCATACCTACTTTCCAGGGCCAGCAATCATCATTTCATCACTCATCTTCTCCCTACTTAAATTCTCATGTGCTCTTAAACTAATACAAGGTTGCAATACATGTTAATCTAGCAACATCAGACTCTAGTGTTAACCAAAGCCAAGTTTATATGCTAAAAAAAAGTGCATACTCAAATGAAAATTGCATTCTTCTCAGTTAATCTATGATTAACGCTATCTAGAGATGTGCATGTCGCTTGGCTATTTATTAGATCTGTCAGCCCAAGGAAGTTATTTTACCTTTGTGAGTTCCTGTAACTTCATTTGAAAAGGACTGTAGTGAGCATCAAATGTGGAAGGTCAGTATCTGTGAAGCTGGAATAGTATACTACGTTTCCCTTCTAAGCAGTTTAATTGAGATATAATCCAAATACTAAACCATTTACCCATTTGAAGTATTCAACACTTTTCATATATTCACAAAGTTGTAAATCACTACAATGAATTTTAGAAAATTTCTCCCCTCCCCCAATGAAGCCACATATACCGTCGCTATCCCCAGGCTCAAGTCCTCTGTTTTCCTCAGCCTAGATTAGATTTCTTTTCTTTTCTTTTTTTGGGTCCAGTCATGGGGCCTGAACTCTGGGCCTGGGCGCTGTCCCTCAGCTTTTCAGCTCAAGGCTAGCGCTCTACCACTTGAGCCATAGCGTCACTTCCAGCTTTTTTCTTTTTGCTTATGTGGTGCTGAGGAATCGAACCCAGGGCCTCAGGCATGCAAGGCAAGTGCTCTACCATTGAGCCACCTTCCCAGCCCCTAGATTAGATTTCTATACATTAGATTATTCTGGATATTTCCTCTAAGTGGACTCATATAAAATTGTTCTTTGTGATAATAAATGTTTCCATAATAGAATGTTTTCAAGTCAAATATGTGGAGAAAAAAAGCTCAAAAGTCAAATATGTGGAATAAACAATGTAATTAGCTCAGGAGAAAGGAAAAAGCATTACTTCCATACAATATTATACATTCATATATTCTTATATATGGGAATAATGTATATCTACTACGAACCAAGCATGAAGATATGTAGTAGGCAAAATAGTTAGCATTTAGGGAATTTGAATATGACAAGAAACAGGAAAATATGACACTCTACTGCTTATAAACTTCTTCATCAAAACACAATTCCATAGAGAACACTTTAGGAGGTAACTAAGAGGATAATATCATAGGGCTTCAGCTAACTATAGCAAACATTTTATAAGCATGCATTTATACCATGTCAGATGTGAAAAATGAGGCTAAGGTCAGAAAATTGTTGAGTACCGAGTATGGTCTGGGAACTGGTGGTAAGAGTGAGAGGACAAACTACCGAATCAAAATTAAAAACAAGTACTTTCTAACCTGTGGGAGTGCGTGCCATGAGACCAGCCTCCTTGCTGAGCAAAGCTCAATGAGGACCTCCTTTATAATTACCCAGTATTTTGGATAAATATACCTCAAAAAGATTTTTTTTCAAAATATGAAAGACATAATGTCAAATACATCTTTTAAAAGTTTCTTAAATTACTAAGAGCACTACTAAAATTAGTGGCTAGATGTGAATTCCTATTTTATGATTTCTCAATTTATTTCAATAATACACACTTAAAACATACCAAAATACTCACAGAGATAGAATTCTTATTCCAAATTACTTTCTGGAAATAAAAACTGTCCTAAGCTAGCCAAACTTCCTTTCTTTCCTAAGTTTGGGAAATGTCTTAGGAAAAGCAGACATGTACCTTTCCATGACAGCCAGACACTCCTTTCTCCAGGTAAATCGACTCCCTCGTCGGAGACGGAAGGTCCCAGATGTGGCAGAGACAGGGGGAGGTGTTTGTCTCCATTCAAGGTCCTCTATTGAAATCGGGGCAGGTCTCATACTTAATGTAGCCCCTAAAATAAACAAGAGGTTTTCAGCAGATATCTTGCTATTTATTAAAAGTCAAAATAACAAAATATCATGAAAACAAGAATAAATGAGCATAATAAATTTTGTTCTTCTATTGAAACTTGTAGGCCAATATATTCAATATTCCCATTTTTAAAAACAGTGACTAAAATAAAAAGTTGAAGAGGTAAAAAAATTCTTCCTTACAAAGTGAATCAGAGTCAGTGGCTCATACCTGCAATCCTAGCTACACAGAAGGCTGAGATCTGAAGATCACAGTTGGAAGCCAGTTGGGCAGGGAAGTCCATGAAACACTTATCTCCAATTAACCACCAAAAAGCTGGAAGTGGAGCTGTGACTCAAGTGGTAGAGTATTATCCTTGAGCAAAAAAGCTCAAGGACAGTGCCAAAGGTCTGAGTTCAAGCCCCAGACATATGCATATGCACACATGCACATACACAAAAGTGAATCAGAACAAAGGCAGTGTGTCTTGTAGACCTCCTCTGTACCCTTACCTAGTGTATGTACATTTACCTCATATTTTCTTGGCTAATATTCATGGATGTAAACTTTGCACTTTGCCTGAGTGCAGGGCTCATCCTCTCCCCACACAGTCCAGCTCCTCTCCACCCTCTCCATCGCCTTTCTTTACACCTAGGCTTTACTCTAGGCTTAAATATAAGAATGCAATGGCCTGGCGCCAGTGCCTCATGCCTGTAATCCTAGCTACTCTGGAGGCTAAGATCTGAGGATCACGGTTCAAAGCCAGCCTGGGAAGGAAAAGTTTGTGATACTCTTATCTCCAATAAACTACCAGAAAACTGGAAGTGGTGCTGTGGTTCAAGTGGTAGAGTGCTAGCGTTGAGCTGAAGAGCTGAGGGACAGTACCCAGGCCCAGAGTTCAAGCCCCATGACCACTACCACCAACAACAAAAAAGAATACAATGACCTCTATTATTTCTTGAATTTGAACAGCATGTGTCTTCAGAGCTCAGTCCCTAGCCCCTTTTCCTTTCTTTCTCTCCTTACACTGTTAAACTCATCTCCTCAAAGTGTAATTATAATCATTTGATTCCTTTGGTTAAAAAAAAAATGTTGGCCAAGCACCAGGTTGTTCATGTCTATAATCCTACCTACTCAGGAGGCTGAGATCTAAGGATCACAGTTCAAAGCCAGCCTGAACAGGAAAGTCTGAGACTCTTGTCTCTAATTAACCAGAAAGAGCACTGTGGCCCAAGGTGGTAAGAGTGCTAGCCTTGGGTGAAAGAGCTCAGAGACAGTGCCCAAGCCCTGAGTTCAAGCCCCTGGACAGGCAAAACAAAACAAGTCCCCTTTGTTTATGGTTTAATCCAAATCCTTACTATAGACTTACAAGGCAGGTCAGACCTTGTGGAGCTTATACATATGTTAACAGATGTAAATTAATACATATTAATAGGAATAAATAAACTCTGGGAGTATTTGAGTAACACCCTGGTTAGTGTTTCTATTTCAGTCCATAATAGGTTTACTGTAGCTCTCTTCCATCTTTCTTCCCTCTTCCCCTGCCTCTATCCCCTCATATCCACATCTTTCCTTCTTCTTTTTTTTTTTTTGGTCTATCATGGGGCTTGAACTCTGGGCCTGGGCGCTGTCCTTCAGCTCTTCAGCTCAAGGCTAGCACTCTACCACTTGAGCTACAGCATCACTTCCAGTTTTCTAGTGGTTTATTGGAGATAAGTCTCACGGGCTTTCCTGACTGGGCTGGCTTTGAACTGTGATCCTCAGATATCAGCTTCCTGAGAAGCTAGGACTATAGGCGTGAGCCACCGGCCACCGGCTCTTTCCTTGTTTTTGAGACAAGGTCTTGCCATGTTGCTCAGGATGACCTTTCACTCTTGGCCTCAATTATCTTCCTACCTGCAGCGTCCCAAGTAGCTGGGACTACAGTATGAACCAGTGTGCCAGGCAGCAGCCCTATCCCTTTTATTGAGACAAGTCTCACTACCAGGCTGGCCTTGAGCTTGCTACAAAAACCACAATGGTCTTAAACTTCTGCTCTTCCTGGTTTCATCCACCAATGCCTGGATTATAATCATGTACCACTCTCCAGCTCTGATTTTCATGCAGTCTTTTCCATTTCAGTAAACAGACCCCATTTTTCAAGTTGCTCAGCTCAAAACCCTCAAGACTTATCTTTGACTTCGTTACTATTCAACAGTAAAAATAAATAAATAAATAAATTTGATTAATTACATCTATCAAAATCAGTATCAAGTTAGTGTTGCTACCACCTTAGAACAAACCAGTATCATGTCACAATCATGACTTCCTGGGATAGGTTCCAAAGACAAACCTTCACAACAAGCCATCCCTCCTAGTAATCAGGCTCTTAGATCTGAGCTGTTGATGAAGAAAATGAAGAGAGTTCAGTGACAGGTCACAGATAACTTTGTACCTTCTGCCTAAGTTTCAGAAAGAAGTTTTTTTTTTTTTTACAGAAAGAAGTCTGGCCAACTTGAGACTCTGATGTAAAGAAACCCACGGTCTCCATGTGGCGAGGCCACATGACCTTACAGCTGTGCCGCTAATCCTCTACTCTGACCAGGTGCCACAGCACTGGACCGAAGCACCATCTCAAATACTCCAGCTATTGCAGACTTTATGTGGAACCTGGCTGACCCAGAGAAACAAGGACTCAGCCATTCTGTCTCAAGATTGACATATAGCAGCCACCCTCCAAAGGCCCCACTGACCTCCGCCCTTTGTTATCTATGCCACTGTGGAGAACTTGCCCATACTGTACCATGATTAGTCTGTGTAACTAACAGCATGTGGTACTGATGGTATGATACCTCCAGGACTAGATTATAGGAGACAGCGTGGCTTCTGTCTTAGTTATTGCACTCTCTCTCTTTCCTTCTTCCTTCCACTTGATTATTTTCTCAAGAGAGAACTAGTTGCAATTTGTATAGACACTTGGGCAGTGGATGGCAAGGCCATCCAACAAGCCGTTTGCCAGGGCTTGCAATATCCATGTGCAGATTTGCAAGGGGACTGTCCATTTCCAGTGTCTGAAATCTGATGAGAACACTGATCCTGAAGCTCCTGTCTTGAGTACTCCTGCAGCCAATCTATACAAGCCAAGAAAATAAATGTTGTGTTAAGCCACTACCTTGTGGGGTAAGTTACCATATGATCATGGATTACTAACACACATCACTACAACCATCCCCAGTTGTTTATTTCCCCATATCTACCCATACCCTGAGGACTGTAAGAATTAGTTATTCAAGTGCATACATTTTGGAAAAAAATTCTCTTAAAGATAGGAGATTTTATAACTAGTGTAAGAACCTTTTTCTGTTTTCTGATTATTGCATTTTTAAAAATCTTTTATCCCTTGTTCTAGTCTTAACTTTGTGGTGCAGTTAATTATGTCAATATTTCCAATAATGGCACATGGGTTCCAATCTCATTCAGAATATTTTGATAGTTTATATCTTGTGTTTTAATGCTCTCTGGTATATGATATAAACTAAATATTTCCCTTCTTTCTCAACTGATCAAATATGTCATCATATAATGCTTTAGAGATTATTGGCTTAAAACAAGGTGAACTAGGTCCAAGTAGATGCTATGAGCGACACAAAGAACAAACTCAAAATTACTGACTCTTAAAAAAAGATAGAAAGATACTAGATGCAAGAACATTGTATAAAAGCCTTAAAACTCCTTAGAAGTAAAACATGGAACTTCTGGGCTGGCTAAATGCCACTCTCACTAGAAAATAAACTTTCTTCCTCTCGTCTCCCCTTTCTCTTCCTCCTCCTCCTCCTTCTTCTTTTAGGTCTCAATATTATGTAGTCCAAACTGGCCTCAAACTCTCAATCTATCTATTCTAGCCTCTTCAGTGCTGATATTACAGCCATGTATTATGAGCCAGGTCAACATTTATTTCTGTATAGAAACATTTATTTTCTTCATTACATCTGAGCTCCCATTAAAACAAAACTGTGTTACTTTCATCTAGCTATTCTAAACTCATAAGAGAAAAAAAAAATCTCTCATACCTTGGCCAATAGATTTCTTTTAAAAAGAAATTTCCATGTATATATAATTATCTTGTTTACCAGGATTAGATCTAGGTAAGCCTTTAGTTTTTTATTTTTTTTATTTTTGTCAGTCATGGGGCTTGAACTCTGGGCCCAAAAGCTGGCCCTCAGCTCTTTAGCTCAAGGGTAACACTCTACCACTTGAGCCACAGTGCCACTCCCGGTTTTCTGAGTGGTTTATTGGAGATAAGAGTCTCATGGCCTTCCCTGCCCAGGCTGGCTTTGGGCTGGCTTTGAACATCATCCTCAAATTTCAGCCTCCTATGAGTAGCTAGGATTACAAGTGTGAGCCCCTGGTGCCAGGCATAGGTAGGCCTTTATTAATCAGCTAATAAAAAGAACAAATACAAACACATTATTACTGCTCTAGCCATAGAAGCTAGCTTTTCTTAAAGTAATTTTTCATGTTCTCCTATGCCATGAGTATATTTCCCCAAGCTCTAATTAGTAGCAGCCATTTATTGTTGTCTCCACATTTACTTCATGTACTTGCTGCATAAGCATCCTGTCAGACTTTAGTTGTTTAATTTTGAAGTATGTAGAACCAGTGGCATGAGCCAAGAGGTGCTCAGCAAACCTTGTGTGCTACAGCAATGTTTAAATTAGACATCAGAAAAGATGTTGAACTTAGTTTGATTAAATAAAGGGGCTCTTTTGATGTCAGACACACTGAATTTAGTACTTGCTTCTTCAAAAAAAAACTAGGCATTTTCTTGTAAATGTTTTCTTAAGAAACAAGATAAAGTGCATGTGATTATTTTCCATCAGCCTCTTTTATTTATAAGTCTTGGCAGGCTTTGAGTTGTGCTGGGAAATCCTGATGATGGGTCTGTTTATCAGAGAACTCCACTGTATCTATAGCTATTCGATTATTGGTAAAATTAACCTAAATATCTGTTCTTCTCTTTTTTGAGTCCAGTTAAAGAGAAGCTTTAAGAAAAAAAAAAAAGAAGGAAGGGAGGGAGGGAGGGAAAAGAGAGAAGCCCATGTGGGTACAAAGTGAAGAGAGATCACTCTGGGTATATGAACAGAAATGCATTAAGGCCAAGAACAGAGACACACAGTATATGCACACATTTTGTTTGTTTTCAAATACTTAAGTTTATAGATGAAAAAAAGATTTTGTTTTAAATTTTCTGGTTTTCCTTAGATTTTCTTTTATCATTCATGAACCTTGTTCTGTATAATCTTGAAATGAACAATGAACTGAGTGTGTGTGTGTAATTTTTTCCTCTTTCCCTCCCTCTCCCCTCCCCCTTTCTTTTTTTTGTTAGTCATGGGCTTGAACTTGGGATCTGAGTGCTGTCCCTGAGCTTTTTTGCTCAAGGCTAGTACTCTTGCACTTAGAGCCAAAGCTCCACTTCTGGTTTTCTGGTAGTTAATTGGAGGTAAGAGTTTCACAGACTTTCCTGCCCTGGCAGGCTTTGAACAGCAATCCTCAGATCTCAGCCACCTGAGTAGTTAGGATTGCTGGCCACCAGTGCCCAGCTCCTACATTCTTTCTTACATTTGTAGTGGTTGTGGTGTGTGTGTGTGTGTGTGTGTGTGTGTGTGTGTGTGTCTGTCTGTTTGTATTTGTGGTGGTTGTGGTGTGTGTGTGTGTATGTGTCTGTCTGTTTGTGCAGTGCCCAGCTCCTACATTCTTTCTTACATTTGTTGTGGTGTGTGTGTGTGTGTGTGTGTGTGTGTGTGTGTGTGTTTACTGGCATAAAGGCCCAACAATGAAGTATGAAACTACTTTACTGAGTAAGTTAGTATGAAGCCAATGGAATAATTACATTTTGTTTCAGGTACAATAAATAAAAGGCAACAATGTTTACCAGGATTTGTCTTCTCAAGCTGGTACCATCGGTAAAAGGCTCTTTTCTTCTGTTCACTAAGGTCTGACCCCTGCTGCAACAGCCAATGAGAGATCCGGCTCTGACTGATACCTGAGGAGAAAGAAAAATAGCTTTTGGGGGTACTGAAACTACAGTAGAGAAAAGAGGGTTCTGCTGGTTCTAGTTATAGGGTGCTTTGCTCTCCATGTCACCGTGTAAGGAAGCTACAATTTGAGCAAACTCCTTAATGCTGTGCTGGCTCACTGTACCGGCCAGTGCACACTCGGAATCCTTACCAGGCTCCTTTTAGAGTTAATACATTTTCTATGGAAATAAAAAAAAAAAGAAATCATCTACATTAGAAGTCAAAGCATCTAACTGACCAATACTTTTATTTTATTTATTTATTTATGTATTTATGTATTTATTTATTTTTTGGGTCCAGTCGTGGGGCCTGAACTCTGAGCCTGGGCACTGTCCCTCAGCTCTTCAGCTCAAGACAAGCGCTCTGCCACTTGAGCCACAGTGCCACTTCCGGCATTTTTTCTTTTTGCTATGTGGTGCTGAGGAATCGAACCCAGGGCCTCATGCATGCAAGGCAAGTACTCTACCACTGAGCCACCTTCCCAGCCCACTGACCAATACTTTTAACAGTAGCTTCTAAAATTAATCTCCAGCCCAAGTACTTGACATGAGATAAATGAAGACATTCCAAATCAACAGTTTCTATCAGAATGACCACTGTCCTCCAACCATATTTAGTTTAGAATATTAGAATTTTTAACAGATATTGAGAGAAAAAAAACAAGTCAGCAAGTTTTGCTACTTATTAAGTATTACTGACATTGATTTAAAGATTTAGGGAGTAGGAGAGAGAGGTCATTGAAAATACTGTCTTCAATAATGTTTCTGGCTTCTTTGCTAATTCATTGAAACATTTTAGACTTATTACCATTAGTATATGGAAGAATTGGCAGAATTTTAAACATATGCTCAATATGACCTCTATAAAGAAATCTCAGCAGCTAAAAATGTTAACACATATTCTCCCCCACCCAGGGGATAAAATATACAGTGGTAGCTCTCAGTTATCATGAAGTAGTTCTTTGTCAGCAGTTACTTAGAAATGTGTATAGTCCTCACATGTGAAAAAAAAAAGGCATGTCTAGAACTTACTAGTGTGAGAATCAAATGCTCATTTTGATCATAGGTTTTCTGAAAAAAGTGAATAAATCAATATACAACTGGCAAAAGCAAAAAGTATTAGTGAAGACATAAAGGTGGATAGTAAACCTACGGAGCGCTTTCCAAAAGACCACGGCAGAGAGTTACCAAGACCTGAAACCCTCCCAAGGAATATCTGTGGTAGCTGCACACTACTGAATGTTACATGTGCCAACCTGTTTAAAACTCTAATGACCAACTGGAAGAGAGGCTATCATGATGCAATCGCACCAAGAGAAGAAGCAGATCTGGCAAATGCATTTAATTCATGAGAAGCAGGCCCCTACTGAGTCTCACATACTTAGAAACAGTGAACAGACAACATGGTATTTTTTTATATTATTCTCAAAATAAGATTATAACCATTTACTACCATGAAATAAAAAATTGACTTTCATATTAGAAGTAAAATGAAACTATTTTACATCGATTCTTTATATTGGCATCATACAATCCAAAACAGAAATTTTGAGGAAAACATTAAGAAAGAATAAGCTATCAGTTCTGTTAGTTTATTCCAACATTCAATCTTCCTCACAGTTAAGGGCACACATAGAAGCACACAGCCCACTAGCTTTTAGGGCTGCTCAGGATCTGAGATGCTAGGGAGAGAAAGAAGACAAAAACTTAAAACTTGATTTTTTTCCCTTCTATTTTATTCTTTCCCTTCCCTTGTACCAGTACTAGGGGTTACACTCAGGGTCTCACAGTCTTGCTTAACTTTTTTGTTCACAATTGACACACTACCACGTGAGCCATGCCTTCAGCCCAGCATTTTGCTACTTAATTGGAGATGCAAGTCTTGAAGAAATTTCTGGTCTGGCTGGCTTTGAACCTTGATCTTCAGATCTCACTCTCCTGAGTAGTTAGGATTACAGGTGTGAGCCACCAGTGCCCAGCAAAAGACATTAAATTATGGCATTTGAATATAACCAAATAATGGCACACTTAAAAATACTACTTTTTAAAAAGCTATTAAAACCCAACATAACAATAAAAAAAACAAAGCAGTCAAACAAAAGGCCAGTGAAACTAAGTATTAGCAAGGACAGGGGGAAATATTGAAATCTGATGCAAGAGTAACATGACAGGGCTACTTCAGAAAATAGCTAGATAAGATCTACTGAGCAATGTCTTGTTAACTAGCAATGTCTTTATTCAATACACAGCCCACAAAAATGTGTGCAGTGCAATAGGAACAAGTTCAAAAGATATGCACAAGAAGCTTCATAATATGATACTACCCTAAACAGGATCCAGTGCAGAGAACTAAATGCTTGCCAACGGTAGAATACAGTGCCATAGCTACACATCCTACTTTACAGACTAATATACCAAATACAAAGAAGCTATCTGTTAAATGCAAACACAAGGATACATTTCACAAAAATAATACTGACAAACAAAAAGCTGTAAGATCACACAGTTATGCAATTCACTTCATAAAAAAAGTTTAAAAAGGCTGGGAAAGTGGCTCAGCAGTAGAGTGCTTGCCTCGCATTATGAGGCCCTGGGTTTGATTCCTCAGCACCACATAAACAGAAAAAGCCAGAAGTGGCACTGTGGTTCAAGAGGTAGAGTGCTAGCCTTGAGCTGAAGAGTTCAGGGACAGCTCCGAGGCCTAGTTCAAGCTCCATGACTGACCAAAAAAAAAAAAGTTTTAAAAATAGGGATACAAACAAGAACACTGGTCCCTATTCAGGAGGAAAAAGGTTGAGGATAAGGAAGGTTTATGAGGTGACCAGCAATGTTCTGTAACTTACATGGAAGATGTTATGTGGGTTTCTTTACTTTTTAAAGTCATTAAGCCATCACCTGCTCTGTGTATATATTTAAATTCTTTGAAGTTTTCTTAAGCAGAGCTTACACTTGTAATCTTAGCTGCTTGGGAGGCTATGAACAGGAAGATGGAATTTCCAGGCCAGCCATGGCAGGCGACTAGAACGCGGCAGGGTACCATGAACCCAGCAACAACTTCCGTTTAGTGACAGACCCTGACTTCAAACCCTGAGAACATCAGAAAAAGAAGTTTCTCCCAAAGATTTTTTTTAAAATTCTATGAGCTTCGCAAATGGGTATGTATTAATATGGAAAGATATTTCTGATATAAATGAAAAGGCACATTCCTACCTCTATATGACTTTCTCAATGTTTTTCTAAAAATATATGAGAAAAAAACTAACTCCTCCTGAATCCCTTTCCTGTAATAATCACATCACATTAAAGGAGGAAAAGCCTTTTTGCCACATTCACGTTCTTTTCTGAGCTCTTTCTAGCTGATGAATACCATTCTCCCTTCCACTAGAGGGCTCTCCACCATAATCCAGACTTCTCAAAGTCTGATACTAATAACATAAATAAACACTTATAATTCATTTTCCTCCCACTTCCTGTGGAGTGTGACAGTACTCACCACTGACATCAACTTCTTTGGAAAAAAGTTGGATGCAATTTCCAACTGACAGAATCTTTTCAGTCTACTTCAGGGGCTGCTTTGCTAGCTCCCCATGTTAGCAGCCCCCAGGGTTCCATCTTTAATCATCTTTTCTCTATACATTCTTCCTCTAGTCATATCGATGATCAACAATCATGTCTTACAATGTCATCAAATACATAGATTTTCAGGACATCAGATCTTTCTTTCCAGCCATGGGGTAGGTGGCTGCAGTGAAAATGTCTCACTGATCCCCAACACAGAAAGCTTAGTTAATTTCCTTTCTACATCCTCTATTTGCTCTTCCTCCTGTATCCTAGCTCTATTTCACATTTCACTCTACTTTTTGCCCAACACTTACATGTTTACTAAATCCAACTACTTTCTCTTGCTACAATTCTCGTGTTCTTTCCATTACATATTCCTACAGTGTGGAGTTAGCCAGGACAACTGAAAAAACTTTGGTGAAAAGAACATCCAAGAATCAAAGTATAAAATCTTCATGAATCCTCCCTTTAAATTAATGGATGATTTTACAATTGAAAAAGTGAAATATCGGAGGCTGGGAAGGTGGCTCAGTGGTAGAGTGTTTGCCTTGCATGCCTGAGGCCCTGGGTTCGATTTCTCAGCACCACATACGCAAAAAGAAAAAAAAGCCAGAAGTGGCGCAGTGGCTCACGTGGTAGAGTGTTATCCTTGAGCTGAATAGCTGAGGGACAGCGTCCAGGCCCAGAGCTCAGGCCCCATGACCGGAACTAAAAAAAAAAAAAAAAGTGAAATATCATCCAATAATTTTCCATAATTTACCTTCCACAATGCAACCGGTTACATTAATTTTCCCTCCCTCCCTCCCTTTCTTTCTTTCTTTCTCTGCCTCACGCAAAATGTCTTGAAATAGTTACTAAACTGCTGAATGTTAATAGTTAAAAATTACAGCTTTTTCTAGAAAATGGCATATATAATGTACTAACATGGGATAATTTCCAAGTTAACAAATCTAAGTTTAGCTGGGCACTGGTGGCTCACATGTGCAATCTTAGCGACTGAAGAGGTTGAATTAAAAGGATCCCAGTTCAAAGCCAGCCTGGGCAAAAATGCCTATGAGACTCCATTTCTAAATTAACCAGCAAAAAACAGGGCCTACAGCATGGCTCAAGTGGCAGAATGTCAGTAGACTAAGCAATTGAGCATAAGGCTCAAAGTTCAAATCCTAGTATCACATTTTTAAAAGGCTAGATGTAGAATATTGTTCAAGGCATATTACTATCTTTCATAAAAGGGCAAAAGAGCTTCTCATATATGTGTATTTGCCTTTAAATGCATAAAATGCCTCTGAAGAAACTAATATTCACCTTTCCCAGGAAGGAGGACAAGTGAAAGACAAGAGGAGGTGCAGCACTGTACACACCTTGTGCAGGGGTGTCTGAAATCTGAACCCATGAACATGTATTCT